CGAGACCTCCAGAGGACCACCCGAGACCTCCAGAGGACCACCCGAGACCTCCAGAGGACCACCTGAGACCTTCAGAGGACCACCTGAGACCTCCAGGGGACCACCAGAGACCTCCAGAGGACCACCTGAGACCTTCAGAGGACCACCTGAGACCTCCAGGGGACCACCAGAGACCTCCAGGGGACCACCAGAGACCTCCAGAGGACCACCCGAGACCTCCAGAGGACCACCCATAGTCTTCAGAGGACCACCTGAGACCTCCAGAGGACCACCTGAAACCTCCAGGGGACCACCCGAGACCTCCAGAGGACCACCCGAGACCTCCAGAGGACCACCCGAGACCTCCAGAGGACCACCCATAGTCTTCAGAGGACCACCCATAGTCTTCAGAGGACCACCTGAGACCTACAGAGGACCACCTGAGACCTACAGAGGACCACCTGAGACCTACAGAGGACCACATGAGACCTACAGAGGACCACGAGACCTCCAGAGGACCACCCGAGACCTCCAGAGGACCACCCGAGACTTTCAGTGGACCACCAGAGAACCACCAGAGACCTTCAGTGGACCACCAGAGACCTTCAGTGGACCACCAGAGACCTTCAGAGGACCACCCGAGACCTTCAGTGGACCACCTGAGACCTCCAGAGGACCACCCAAGACCTTCAGTGGACCACCTGAGACCTCCAGAGGACCACCTGAGGTCCTCAGAGGATCACCTGAGGTCTTCAGAGGACCACCTGAGACCTCCAGAGGACCACCTGAGGTCTTCAGAGGACCACCTGAAACCTCCAGAGGACCGCCTTAGACCTCCAGAGAACCACCTGAGACCTCAAGAGGACCACCCATAGTCTTCAGAGGACCACCTGAGACCTCCAGAGAACCACCGAGACCTCGAGAGGACCACCTGAGGTCTTCAGAGGACCACCTGATGTCTTCAGAAGAACACCCAAGGCCTCCAGAGGACCACTCGGGGCCTTCAGAGGACCACCAGAGACCTTCAGAGGACCACCCAAGACCTTCAGTGGACCACCTGAGACCTCCAGAGGACCACCCAAGACCTTCAGTGGACCACCTGAGACCTCCAGAGGACCACCCAAGACCTTCAGTGGACCACCTGAGACCTCCAGAGGACCATCCGAGACCTCCAGGAGGTCCTCAGGAGGTCTTAAGGAGGTCCATTGAAGCCCTTCAGGTGGCCTTCAGAGGTCCTCCAGGAGCCCACAATAAGTCAGTGTTTTTATTAGCTGAAGATGGACTGAGCTAGCTCCAGGTAGAAGGTCATAATGTTCCTGATGTTCAGTTGAAGTTCACAGCTGTTAAGGAGAACATCAGAGGAATGAAGAAGCATCTCACCATCAGAGCTTGGGGCCTGGCTTTCCTCCGTTTACAGATGAATCCGGTGTAGCGGAGACAGAGGAGCACCATGGTCAGAACCACAGGGACAAAAACCAGCAGAGCAGAAACCACACCTGTCAGCAGCATCTCTGAAGACACAACATGGACACCACCATCAGACAGGAAGCTGTGGACCTCATTCAGACTGAGGTCWGGAACATCTGACCACCGCAGACCAGTTCTTCTGGTTCCTCTCACCTGTGTCTGGTTCCTCTGGGCTGCTGAAGGTGCAGGACCAGTTAGACAGCAGGGTGTTGGGGTTTAACCGGGTCTTTATTTTGATCCTGACGCAGAACTTGGCTCCTCTCTCCAGGTTTGTAAGAATAAAACTCCTGTTTCTGGTCTCCAGATGCTGTAAGAACAAAGACCCACTGATTCTCCTCTGGAGACCCCTCAGGAGGTCTCCAGGAGGACKAGAGGTCTGACAGGAAGGATCAGAGGACAAATAGTTTCTTACATCTTCCTTATCGTTCTTTTCTTTCCTCCACCACACCATGAATGAAGGGTCAAACTGCTTCCTGTCTGGGAAAGGAAGTGAGATGTTCCCCTGGATACAGGTTCCACATCCAGCCAATGAGAAGACTGGAGGGCCGATGGTGGCTTTAACAAACAAACAAAAGTTAAAATAAAACAAACAAACAAACAAACAAACAAACAAACAAACAAACAAACAAACAAACAAAAAAGTAAAAATAAAACAAACAAGCAAAAAACAAACAAAA